TGGGATCATTATCACGTTGGAGATCCTTGTCTTTTCTGGGGCCGTTATCACGTTGGAGATGCTTGTCTTTTCTGGGATCATTATCACGTTGGAGAGGCTTATTTTTTCTGGCATCTTTATCACGTTGGAGATCCTTGTTTCTTCTGGGATCATTATCACTCCGCCTGTTTCTGTTACATTCATCAATATTACGGTCATTGTCGCCATCACATAGCGTAGCACAATCCTTAACGTCTTCCCAAGTTGCCTTCGATGCATTTATTTCTTCTTCTAAACATAATTCATCATTAATTATATTAAGATATTGTATTACGTCAAGCACTAAATCATCAAATTCGTTAATATTAAGTCTTAAGTTGTTCCACCCATCGGACAATCCGTGTCCTTGTAAATCTAAGGAATACACAGAACACCCCATATTATTAAAATGCTCTATCCAGCTATTTTTGTACACGTAAAAATTGTTTTCATCTTTTAATATAACTTTGGAGTTATCCACGATTTCAACATTGTGCCTCAGAAAGTTTAATCTTGCATGTGAACCAAGACCATGAATCATTACTATAATACCTATAGCATTCCGAACCAACCATCCATACGTTGCCAATAATAAACCATCCTTATTAAAAAAAGAACCAAGTGTTGGTTTCCCGTCTATTCTAGTAGTAGTTGGGGTTATGATCTCTTCGTCATAGTAAATATTTCCATCCATTACTTTTATTAAAATAAAAAGAAAACTATTTCATACTATCCAAAATGAAAAGAAGTACATACCTACCTATATATTCATTGCGCACACTTTTTTATGAATAACTTCCATTTATTCAAAACAAACCGCTGTTTTAAATCTCGCGTCCTTCTTCTATTTCATGCAATTAAATATGGACAAAATCTTCTACAGAAAAAAAATAAAATTATACTTAACCAGAAATAGGAGTACAACTTAACATAAAAATGCAAATCCATTTTAAAGCATTAAGAGAAAAATTTAAATTTTAGAACACGGTAGGTTATAAAAACATAGGTACATAAACAAAAAAATAATATATGTACAGTTAAAATTGGCAAATGGTCATATAGAAACATAATTATATCTAAAATAAATGAAAAAAAAAACATATTATTATATATAACGCGTTTAAAAATGAAAAGAAAAAAAAAACGATAACAGATCTCAGACTAGCGTACTTAATTATATATAAAGAAGTATTCAGAAGGGCTAGTTACAGAAACGAAAAAGATGTTTCTAAAAATGAATCAGTAACTGACGAATTTTCCTCTTTTTTTTTTTTCTTTTTTTTTTTTTTTTTTTTTTTTTTTTTTGCATATTCATTATTGTTTCGGTAAATACGTAAATACTCATTTGTGTTTTAATTTCTACTTCTTTCTATATTTGTATTCTAATAATCTTAAATTTCGTTTTGTGATAAATACTTGTTATGCAAACTATAGAAAAAAAAATAACTATTCTTTTGAACCAGAAATCTAAAGATTAAAAAGAAAAGCTTATTACAGTTATAAAGTTTTTTCTTTTTTTTTTTTTCTTTTCCTGTATTTCATTTATTCTTTTATAGCAAAGTAACATATATATAATATTTCTTTCTTATATTTCTATCATTTACGATGAACAATTTTGCTACTAAATCACAACTAACAGAAGACAGTCCACGCTTAAGGCGTGCATTATACTTATATAATAAATTTTCTCGAATATTAAAAAAATTAATACTTTTAACATCCTCTGTATATGTAATTATTACCCTATTCACATAACTTGTATTAATCCCCCATTTGAAGTACTGCTGAAGTAGAAGTAACGGTACGAATCTATTATTGTAAATATAAACAAAATGACATGCTACGCCTTTAACATATACATTATACATATGTAATTATAAAAAGAGTGAGTAACTGAATTCCATTTTTGGAGCAGTTAAGTATTATTTAAAAGGACAACGTATATGTAATATAAATGTATCACGGAATCCATGGGTCCCATAACATGTATTTATTCTGTGTTTCAAATATAATTTATGACGAAAAGTATAATTCTGTTTTTTTTTTTTTTTCTTAACTTTTAAAAATATTTAAACACATGTCCTATAATGAAGTTTTATAATCATACACATTTTTGACAGGTATCCGAATCAGCTGTACATACATCAATTAACAGTTCTTTCCAAAAGTTTATTAAATATGAAACGCTGTAATGTTATTAACTACACATCACGATGAGTAAGAATGGTAAAAAACTACAAAAACGTGTATTTGACTGAAAATGAAGAATGAACGCAATCACGACATAACCATAAGATGGAAACACAACAAAAAAA